GTCAAGAACCCAAACTCTGCTCCCAGAGCAGCTTTTCAAACCCACAAATGCTTTTCCTTCAGAGGGGATTTGGGGGTTCCTTGCCCGGGTTCCTGGCTGATGCTGTCTCTCTGTCCCACAGCTGGTGAAGATGCGCCTGTCGGTGCCGTGCCGGGCCGAGACCTGTGCACACCTGCAGTGCTTTGATGCCGTCTTCTACCTACAGATGAATGAGAAAAAACCCACCTGGATGTGCCCTGTGTGTGACAAACCTGCCCCCTACGACCAGCTCATCATTGATGGGTGAGTTTGCACCTCTGTGCCCTTCCCTTTCCCCACTGGGTGCAGCTCTGGGTCCGTCCATCTGCTTAAATTCACCTTGAAGCTGTTGGAAGTTCATTCTGCTGGTGCAGGAAATTTTGCTGTCAGAGTTTTGGTGTGCTGGGAATGTGCTGGGAGGGAGCAGAGCACTTGTGGGGTTTGTTTGGGAGCAGTTTGGTTGTCCCCAAATGCTGGGAGCCTTTTGTGGGCTGGGACCACCGACATTCTCATGGTGCTGCCAAGGACTGGTGGAACAACACAGGCTGGGAAACAATCCCCACCCTCCTGGCTGTGGGATTGGCCTCTCCTGCAGGTTCCCTCAGCAGCAGAGAGAGTTTGGGGCCATCCAGCTCCCCTGGCACAGGGAAGTGAGCAGACCAGTCTGTTGCTGAGGGCTCCTGGAGCCCTTTGTGAGCCCTGTGTTGGTGCAGGAGCTGTGGCTTTCCAGGCAGCCTGAGCACAGATAACCTGTTTGCTTTGTCCCCTGGCCAACCCCRACAGGAAAATCCAGTTCCTTGGAGATCTCTAACGAGGGAGAGATTGAAAGGGAAGGTGCAGGGGTTGGATTGTGGAACCCCCATGGATCAGCAGTGCCCGTGTCCCATGTGAGGAGGAGCAGGATGTCACTGGGGATGGCTCAGCAGGTTTTTATCCCTGCTCAGGGCTGGGGTTGGTGCCAGTTCTGTTGGGTGAAAGTCCTTCCCAGTTTCCTGGAAGTGAGAGAGGGAAGCTGGCACTCAGCTGGGTGCTGGGAGTCAGRAAAGAGCTGGAGGCTGCYGAGCAGGGAGGGAGGTGGTTGGTCAGGTCTGGCATCCTCAGGGCCTTGGCAGCTTTTTGGGAACTGCAGCTCGGTGGTTGCTGTGCTGCTGTTGGGATTGGCTGTGGAAACAATTCCTGCAGGAGCTGGGGAAAGCTGCAATTCTCCCACTGAGGTGCCACAAAGCTCTCCTGAGCTTGGGAGACTCTGCCAAGAGTTCTCCTTCCTCCTGAAGGAAAATGCTCGAGTCCAGGAGGGGATGAGGTTCAGCAGAGCAGCATTTCCAAATAACCATGCCAGGCAAACAGTGGGACACAGGGAATAAAGCAAATCCCCAATTTCTCTGGAATCAGGGCCTCATTCCAGGTGTATTTTCATGGTTTCCTGGTTCTCCTGTCACAGGAGGCTCCATATGTTGTTTTGGTGGYTTCTGTGGAGATTTGGGAAATAAAACCAGGAAGGAAAGGAAGGGTTGGATTTTTGGAAAGGATTTCTCACCTTTTGCTGAAGCCTCTTTGGGAATGTCCTGGGAATGTCCCTGGGATGGGGCAGCAGCCTGGCAGCAGTGCCTGGGAAACTGGGTGAAGAGRCAAACAAACCCCTGTTTAATTGCATCTCATTAAATTGGGTGCTGCTGCTTTGGGTGCATGGCCAGGAGGGGCTGGGATGGATCTGCACCGTCAGAACCTGCACTGCTTTTATGGGGAATAAAATCTGTGAGGGCTCTGAGCTCAGTCAGCACCAGGTTCCTGTTCAGTCTTGTTCACTGCACACATCCTGCTGAGTGCCAGGGGTGTGACAGCCCCTCTGTCCCCTCTGCAGCCTCCTGTCCAAGATCCTGACAGAATGTGAAGATGCTGATGAAATCGAGTACCTGGTGGACGGCTCCTGGTGCCCCATCCGAGCCGAGAAGGAGCGGAGCTGCAGCCCTCAGTGTCCAATCCTGGTTCTTGGTGAGTGTCCCTGGGGAGAAGGGCTGGAAATCCCTGCAGGAAATCATGGAATTCCAGAGTGGTTTGGGTTAAGGGACCTGCAGGATCATTCAGTGCCATGGGACACCTTCCACCATCCCAGGCCAGCCTGGCTTTGGGCACTGCCAGGGATCCAGGGGCAGCCCCAGCAGCTCTGGGCACCCTGTGCCAGGGCCTCAGCACCCTCCAGGGACCAATTCTTCCCCAATATCCCATCCATTCCTGCCATTCCCTGTGTCCTGTCCCTCCATCCCTTGTCCCAAGCCCCTTGTCTGGAGCCCCTTTAGTCCCTGGAGGAGGCTCTGAGCTCACCCTGGATCCTTCCCTTGTCCAGGCTGAGCAGCCAGGAGAGTTGGATCACCCCTGAGCAGGACTGGAGGGGTTCCACCTCATCCTTTTCACCCCTGAGCAGGACATGAGGGGTTCCACCTCATCCTTTTCACCCCTTGAGGGGTTTCACCTCATCCTTTTCACCCCGGAGCAGGACTTGGGTGGTTTCAGCTCATCCTTTTCATCCTGAACTAAACATGAGGGGTTTCACCCAATTCTTTTCACCCCTGAGCAGGACTCGGGGCATTTCACCTCATCCTTTTCATCCTGAGCTGGACTCGAGGGGTTTCACCCAATCCTTTTCATCCTGAGCAGAACTCGAGCAGTTTCAGCTCATCCTTTTCACCCTGAAAAGGCCTCAAGGGGTTCCAGCTCATCCTTTTCACCCATGAGCAGGACATGAGTGGTTTCAGCTCATCCTTTTCACCTTGAACAGGGCACGAGGGGTTTCACCCAATCCTTTTCACCCCTTGAGGTGTTTCAGCTCATCCTTTTCACCCCAGAGCAGGACATGAGGAGTTTCAGCTCATCCTTTTCATCCTGAACTAAACATGAGGGGTTTCAGCTCATCCTTTTCACCCTGAAAAGGCTTCAAGGGTTTCCAGCTCATCCTTTTCACCCCTGAGCAGGACTCGGGGCGTTTCACCTCATCCTTTTCATCCTAAACTGGACTCGAGGGGTTCCAGCTCATCCTTTTCACCCCTGAAAAGGCCTCAAGGGGTTTCAGCTCATCCTTTTCACCCCTAAACTGGACTCGAGGGGTTCCAGCTCATCCTTTTCCTCCCTGCCCAGGTTCCTCGGATGTGAACGGGCTGCTGGCCGCTCCCAACGGCAACGGCGAGAACGGCAAAGCCCCGGCGGACGTTGTGGATTTAACACTGGACAGCTCATCCTCGGAGGAGGACGAGGAGGAGGATGAGGAGGAGGATGATGATGATGAGGGACCCCAGCCCAAACGACGCTGCTCTTATGAGAAAGGTTTAGTCTCTGCCTGCTGACTGCAGCCACGGTTTGGAATTCCCAACGGACAGACTTGAATACTCTGGTGCTTATTAAACTGGAGGAGGGGGAGAATGTCCTCTCCCACCTCATCTCCCACCTTCCCTCATCTCCTGTGACTTTCCTATTCCAAATTACTCATTAAAACGAGAGAGAAAAAAGAAAAAAACAAAAAACAAAAACAAAAAAACGACACAAACAACAAAACAAAAAAACCATTGAGCTGCTTCTTGGTTGGAAAACAACCCCACTCAGAGCCTGACCCTGAACTGGAGCCTGAAGTAAGGAAAGTGTCTTAAGCCAGGCAGGATCTTCCCTCCCCTGGATCCCGGGATYGGGGGAGYTSCCCTGCACACCTCCAGGACACCCACCCCTGCATCTCCAAAGCCGTGTGCAGTTCGATCCTCTTGTTAATTAACCATTCCTTAATTAATCTAAAGGTTTTGCTGGACATGTGAGTC